GCTTAAATCCCTGTCCAATGTATTTCTTTTCTGCAGTAAAGGATCTAACTCAAAGATGGAGTATATGCTATTTAATAGAGTAATGTACAATTCCAAAATTGCCATTGCTCTTCTTCCTTGAAGCTCTCTAAAGCCATTTAAAATCACATGCATTTCTTTGTAACTATTCTCAAGCCAAATGCTAATCTGAAGGCCAGTCTCTGAAGCTGGTTTGTAATCTCACATAAATCAGTTGGAAGTGCCCAAAGGGGCCCAAAGTAGCTTCCTTATGTTGTAACGGAATTCATATATTAAAGACATATTGTAAGAATAATTCAGTTGTCAAAATATACATCCAATAGAATGATAATGTCTGGTATGCATCAATGTCTTGCGTTTCCAGTGAAATACTAAATTTTGCACAGTATCTCAAGGGCAAGCGTTAAATACTGCTGTGAGCCCTCAAACTTGACTACATAGGATTGGTAATCCGTGGATAGATTCCACAGAAATGTATTTATACAAAAGAATGAAAATATCAGCTTGATTGGGACTAATCTGAAGGAAGAATGTCCAGTTTGATGAGCTCACCCATAGCAAAGCCTTGGCTTCAAATAAACAGATGGCCCAGAACCCATTGGCTTAATGCCCGAGGCTTCAGGAGCCTTATTGCAGGTGACATAAGAAACACAGAAGAGTACCTTCATCAAAAGCTTTTGGGGTCTTTGGAATATAAGTCATATATTCCTGAGATTATTCTAAGTGAGTGTAATGCAAAGTGGAGAGAAGTAGGCCCCATTTTACCTTGGGAAAAGATGAAGTTTGGACGCTGTCGGCTTCTTTGCGTATGGCTTCTTACCAGAAGTGTGCATCAAAACATCCAAGGAGATAATGATGTCTAGCAGAGTGTTGGCTGAAATCACTGTTCCTAGGGTTGCAATGGGAGGGTCAAAAGCAAGACTATGAAAACTGGAGAGCGTATGGCAAGACTTAGAGAAACAATAGCTTTGCTTAAGGAAAGTTCTGCAAGGACCAACAAAACAATGATTATAAACATGAGTGAGATGCCGCTTGTAGATTCTTAGATATACTTTAGGAACCTTTGCAGGTGACCTCAGCTTGTATTAGAAAAAATATGGAAAGCCATTTTATATGCAATACTACTGTTATTTAGAACCCTTTTGTACTTACAGTTTGATAGGGTTGAACAAACTTCACCTTATACACTTATAAGTTTTGTTTCCTACTCTTTGCTAGCCACCCGTGAGAATGTATACACCCTGTAGCATCTCCAGGTTTGTTTTAGCAAAATTACAGAATTTACGTATCTGAAATTCAAAGCCCGTATTCCAGATTGAACACTTTTTTGGTTACCTGAGTCCACTATGGTCTGTGTCTCTTCTCTGAATTTACGTATCAATTTTCATCTGTACCATTCATTTAATGAGCTTATTATATCCTTGTGTGTGTCATTGTTTGTATTATTGTCCTGAATGCCTAAAACTGCAGAAATGTTTTACACACAAAGTAGGTTCTATCTCCCTTACTGGACTATAAACTCTCCCAGGTTGTTCAGACTTGTTTTTGTGTAAGTTAGAGTAGTTTGTCCTATGTTATTACAATGGTAGATACTGAAAAGGACTTGAATGAAAGCATGAATAAAATATTTAATTTTTAATCACTAAATCCATGGTGATCTTACACAGAGACATGCTCAGTTGCTGTTACATGGTTTGGTTCATCTATTTACACTATATTGTAGCCAATAACAAATAAATGGCTAAATGCTTCCTCTCAGTGGGGTGTGGTGATTCCCTGGGACAATTTCTCATTTGTCAGAATTGCATTTGAATATAAGTGCAAGGAAAGAAGTAAAAAAGAATAGACAAAAATCTGCTGATAAATTTAAAATTTTTCACTAAAAACACAGCAGTAAAACAGCTAAAGCTCAAATGTAGAGAATCATGTCTCCTGAAAATAAATATGCCCCAAGCTCATAAACACCAAGGCTAGTGGTCAGGAATGAACAGATGTTTATTGCCTCATGCACCCTCTGCTACTCTGGGATAATCTCTTAAATATCCCAAATCCAGTTTGAATTTAAATTAGATTCATATTTTCTTTCATGATTATTCCATTAAAAATATCATATGATTAGCCAATTAAATGGAGAGAAAAAAATCAGTAGGAGAGCAATCCCCTTTAATATTTTCAATTAAGATGTAGTGTGGCCAATAAAAGCAGCTTACATTTTCATTTTATGGGTACCTATGGAGAGCATTATGACACAAATGACTCAGAAGAAGGTAATCGTTTCAAAATATATTGTAGTGGAAGACTGTAAACAGTGCAGTGTGTTAGCTTACAAGGGATGTGATGAAAATATAAAGTTTTTTTCAAAGGGGATTCATGTTTATTTTATAGTCTTTTAGGGTGCTTGTGCCTGCCAATTTACAGCACATATTTCTAAAATGCCACAGACTGTTCTCTCCTAGGGAAGGGTGGGAAGGTGAGGGTATATCCATTAGGGGATAATATGTTTTTAAGGAGAAGGGAGTCGTGCAGCAATTCCATCCTGTCTGCTGCCCATATTTGAAATGAAACTTCACCAGGGCATAGAATAAAGCCTTATTTTCTTATAGGACCATAAGGGAAAGGCTGAGGCTGCTTGATGTCAAATGCAACAGGAATATGGAAAGTTTGTAATTCACAGCATAGGCATCAGTTATTTTGAGATCTGTAACCACTGACACGATTTAATTGTTTCATTTTTTTCTGACTTCTTGAGATTGTGAAACCAATTAATATCAATCTAAATAGTTCATAGTGGTTATAGTTTGTCAACATTTTTTTGTTGTACAAGCTCTTCTGTATATTTGATTTTATTAAATTAACATGAATGAAATTCTCATAGGCTGGGGATGGTTCTCAGCTCTTCCACATTAAAAATGTTTATCTCAGTGGGGTGGTTCAAGGTGAGAGGGAAAAAGGAATTAAATAAAAAAGTTTATTCTAGCTTTATTGAGAAATTATATGTGTGATTTTTGACTGAACAAGAGCTTATCATGACTATATGAGCCTAGTATACATCTGTGAACATAAAGATTTAATAAATATTTACTTGGTCATCAAGGTAAAAGCAGATCAGTAGTATTGAGAACACTTCTGAACAAACTGAAGCATCAATGAAAACTAATAGAAGCAACTGGAAATTAAAAGGCATACGACTAATAATAGAATTTAAAATTTTTTAAAAATTCTTTAATCAAAACATGTTATGTGCTTACCATGTATCAGACTCTGACTAAACTTTTAATATACATTACTTCCCTCAATTTTTTCCACAATCCAGTGAGATTGGTGTTATCATCAGACTCAACAAAGACCACATACTCAGCAAGTGGAAGTAAGTTGGAGAATAATTACTACATCTAGGGCCATGGCAGCATAAAGTTCATCTACTGGTTACATGTACTCAACACTGTTATAAGCACAGGAAATACTGGGGTAAATAGAGGTGAACAAGTCAATGAAGATCCCTTCACTCATGGAACTGATATTCTATCTATTGTGAGGATAATTAAAACTTGGTCCTTAGCTATTTGATAAAGTACCTGTTTTTTGTAATGAATATGATGAAGAATTAAAAATGTGAAGCTAAACATTGACCAAAGCCTTTTCTTTCCCTTTAAGTCATACTTATATAGAATAAACCTGTTTTCTACCTACTTTTGTGTTTACCCAGTAATTACGTAAACTATATTAATATTTCAAATCCCAGACTTTTGATATGAATTAGATTCATTCTTTGTTTACAGGAAGATTCAGAAGAACACTGAATCTTTCGATAAAATGATTTTGGCCACAGGCATAAAAAAAGTTTGTTGTATCCATTTCCCCACCACACACAACTAATTTAAATTTTTTGACTGATTATGTTATCTTATTTTCAAAAGCTGTCCTACAAGAAGTGTCTCAAGGTTATTCATCTTAGAGAATTTCTACATCACTCCCCTCAAGAAGATTTTCATTTTCTTAATTATCAGGTTTTAAGTGGAAATATAAGGTACTCTGAAAGTGAAATTTCAGGTCTTACACTGTGAAGAAGACAGCACAGGTCTGGTAGTCTTCAATGCTGTCCTTAACATTACATCACATAAATAGTCAATGACACAGTCCACACTTACAACTTTAACAATTATATGATTTGCTACCCTCCCCTTCTCTTTTCCCAGTAATTCTGGTATGGTTTTCCCAATCAAGATGCACTTGTTAAAGTTTTCATAATGTTTGTTATGATTGGCCCAAAAGTGCTCTCTTGCAACTAATCATTTTCTTCTAAGACTTTGGGGACAGTAATGATAACATATGTATTTTAAAGACTTTGCTATCTGCTATGTATATATATGGTGATGTTGGGTATTAATTGTCTTAACAAGTGAAAAAACGTTAATTTGGTTAAGTTTCAAACTGAGAACTTGTACTCAGAATGTGCAAGTTACTGATTAGTAATAGTAAATATAAGAGAGAGAAATGCATGTCTTAATACTGGATTATTCAAATACAAGTTACAGTGGTATAATCTTAATCTCTGTTTACTTATCTACAAAATGTGAATAAAAATATTTACTTCTTAGGATTTCAGTAATTTTTAAGTTATACTATTTACATAAAGCTTTCAGCACAGTGTTTGGCACATGAAAATTGGTATAGACATGGTAAATAACAGTATCCTCATCCAGTTGTCCTGAACATCAAAACAGCTATAAACTTGAGTAATTTGAAATAAAACAAGTGTTTTACTGTTATCTATCCTATGTTACACGAGAAAAGCCTCCATGATTTCTCTATCTCTATAAATTGCAAAATGAACATGAATGTGGACAGGATGGGCAGTTTTGTAATAAATGTAATTTGTTGTGTTTTGTTTGAAAGCAAGAAAGAGAAAGAGAAAGGGGGAGAGAGAACAGGAGTCTTGCTCTATTGCCCAGGCTGGAATGCAATCTAAAAATAGGTATTAGGACCTGGCGGAGGACGCCTCCTCAGCTGCTCCGAGTCCCCAGGGCTGTGCGGATGGTAGGGATGCCGACGCTACCGAGGAGCGGATAGCAGAAACGGAGAGAAACCACGAGGAGCAGTTCGAATGCCAGGAACTACTCGAGTACCAGGTGCAGTTGGGGGCTCCAGAGGAGGAGGAGGATGCAGGCCTTGTGGCCGAGGCGAGGCTGTGGCTACCAGGTGATGCTCGATTTCCTCTGCCTCTCTCTTTGCCGAGCTTTCCGCGACGCCCGCTCCGAGGACATTCTTCAGACCCGCGACAGCACCCAGGCTATTATTCATGGACTATCCAGCCTAACAGCTTATCAGTTGAGAACTGTATACATATGTCAGTTTTTGACAAGAATTGCAGCAGGAAAAAACCTTGATGCACAGTTTGAAAATGATGAACGAATTACACCCTTGGAATCAGCCCTGATGATTTGGGGTTCGATTGAAAAGGAACATGACAAACTTCACGAAGAAATACAGAATTTAATTGAAGTTCAGGCTATAGCTGTTTGTATGGAAAACAGGAACTTTAAGGAAGCAGAAGAAGTCTTTGAAAGAATATTTGGTGATCCAAATTCTTACGCGCCTTTAAAAAGGAAATTGCTTATGATAATCTCTCAGAAAGATACATACCATTCTGTTTTTCAACACTTCAGTTACAACCACATGCTGGAGAAAATTAAGAGTTATGTGAATTATGTGCTAAGTGAAAAATCATCAACCTTTCTAATGAAGGCAGCAGCAAAAGTAGTAGAAAGTAAAAGAGCAAGAACAATAACTTCTCAAGATAAACCTAATGGTAATGATGTTGAAATGGAAACTGAAGCTAATTTAGATACAAGAAAAAGTGTTAGTGACAAACAGTCTGCGGTAACTGAATCCTCAGAGGGTACAGTATCCTTATTGAGGTCTCACAAGAATCTTTTTTATCTAAATTGAAGCATGGAACCCAGCAACAAGACCTTAGTAAAGAAAGAAGAGTAGGAACTCTTCAAAGTGCAAAAAAGAAAAAAGAAAGCAGAAGAGCCACTGAAAGTAGAATACCTGTTTCAGAAAGTCAACCGGTGACTCCTGAAAAACATCGAGCTAGAAAAAGACAGGCATGGCTTTGGGAAGAAGACAAGAATTTGAGATCTGGCGTGAGGAAATTTGGAGAGGGAAACTGGTCTAAAATACTGTTGCATTATAAATTCAACAACCGGACAAGTGTCATGTTAAAAGACAGATGGAGGACCATGAAGAAAGTAAAACTCATTTGCTCAGACAGTGAAGACTGATTGCGTTTCTAAAAGCTTGATGAAAGGACAGTTAAGCACATGTAGATCACTACATTTTGTTTGAAACTTGCATCATTGATGTATTTTAAAACTTTTGTTTAAAGCATTACAGTATTTTTCTGTGACCATCAATATAAGGGTTTGTGCTCTAAGAATTAAAGTATATGCTATCATTGTGTTCTTTAAGAACCTTTTGATAAACTGTAAATTTGTTGAACCCTGCCACATTTAGGATCCCCACCTCCAAATCCTATTCCAGTGAAAAAAATTAAAAGCTGATCTGAAAAAAATATTTTAATTAACCTATTTTGTGTCTGTAGGCTGACCTCAACACTGTAACGTAACCCATTAAAATGAATTTTTTAGATAATTGAATAACAATAGTCCTTTGATATGAGATAGTGACTTGGTTTATGGCCTTAATATACTGCTTAATTACTTAAGACATTCATTAATAGAATGATAAATGTACAAAGTAACCTATAAGTATGACATACGTTTGCTTTCAGTGGCTTCATGTAAAGAAAAAAACTGGAAAACAGTAATACCCAAGAACACATGGGAACAGTAGACACTGGGGAGGTAGGGTGGGGAGCAAGAGCTGAAAACTACCTACTGGATACTCTGCTGACTACCTGAGTGAGGGAATCATCCGTACCCCAAACCTCAGCATCACAAACCTAGTATACCCAGCTAACAAACCTGCCCATGTGTTCCCTGAATCTAAAATAAAAATTGAAATAATTTTTTTTTAAAAAGCAAAAGACGGCCAGGTACAATGACTCATGCCTGTAGTCCCAGCACTTTGGGAGACCGATGCGGGCGATCTCAAGGTCAGGAGATTGAGACCATCCTGGCCAATATGGTGAAACCCCGTCTATACTTTAAAAAAAAAAAAAAAAAAAAAAAAAAAACTGGGCATGGTGGCATGCACCTGTAGTCCCAGTTACTTGGGAGGCTGAAGCAGGAGAATCACTTGAACCCAGGAGGCGGAAGTTGCAATGAGCAGAGATCGCACCGCTGCACCCCAGCCTGGCGACAAAGAGAGACTCTGTCTCAAAAAAAACAAAAAGTATTACCCAGGGGACGAAATTTGTACTATTAGCAAGAATCCTTTTGTGTCTCATTTAGAAACAACTTGACTTTTGTTCCAGTGTTTAAACTTTGACAAAAAATGGTTTTGAATAGATCTTTATAACCTGATGCCATAAATATAAGATTCTCTCATACCTTCATTTAATATATCAATATTTGGCCTAAAACAGTATTCTGTAAAGCTTAAGTTGGTATTAACTATGATCATCTTGATGTCTAGGATAGGTAATAAAGTTATACATACCTTACTAAGCAATTTTGGTTTTTCACTAACGTTTTATTCTTTAAAAGATTTAGACAATTACTTAGCATTTTGAGTTGTGTGCTTTATTTAGCAAGTGAGTAAAAATATTAGAATATTGAAGTATTTACTTCACTATAAAAAAATCAAATGGTAGTGTTTTATAATCTCTATTTCCTATTAAGTTTTATATGTTACTTTCCCTTAGTTCCTGAATTTGTTGTTCTATATACTATATATAAACAGAAACGTGGATGATTTAAAAAATAAATAAATAAAATAAAAATAGGTATTAGAAACCTCTTTTATGCCGATAATTGTGCTTAACAGCGGAGACAGGAAGGAATAAGGGATGAAAATCACAAACAAACAGCCAACCAATATTTCATTTAAGTCTGTGAAATGCTATGCAAATGCTGAAGAGTGATTTACTTCTAATTATGTGGTCACTTTCAAAGTAGGTGTAATGTGATACTGAGAAAAATGTATGTTCTGTGGACCTGGGGTGAAGAATTCTACAAATATTCACTGAGTTTACTTGTTCCAGGTCTGAGTTTAAATCATAGATGTCCCTGTTAATTTTCTATCTCGTTGATCCGTCGAATATTAACAATGCGGTGTCAAAGTCTCCTGCTATTATTGTGCGGGAGTCCAAGTCTCTTTGTAAGTCATTAAGAACTTGTCTTATGTATCTGGGCATTCCTACACTGGATGCATATATATTTATGATCATTGACTCTTGTTGTTGCATTGATCCTTTTACCATTACGTAATGTCCTTCTTTGTTTCTTTTAGTCTTTGTTACTACTAAAGTCTATTTTGTCAGAGACGAAAGTTACAACTCCTGTTTTCTTTTTTTTTTTTTTTTTTTGCTCTCCATTTGATTGGTAAGGCTTCCACCAACTGTTTGAGTCTTTGTGTGTCCTTGCTTATGAGATGGATCTGGATACAGCGAACCAATGGGTTTTGACTTTTTATTCAATTTGCCTGTCTGTGTCTTTGATTGGGGCATTTAATCCATTTAAATTTAGGATTAATATTGATATATGTGAGTTTAATATTGTTATTTAATGCTAGCTGGCTATTTTGCCCATTAGTTGATATAGATTCTTCATTATGGAGATACTCTTTACCTTTTGGTAAGTTTTTGGGATGACCGATACTGGTTATTCCTTTCTGTGTATAGTGCTTCTTTCAGAAGTTCTTGTAGAGCAGGCCTGGTGGCGATGAAATCTCTGAGTGCTTGCGTGTTCGTGAAAAATTTTATTTTTCCTTCATTTATGAAGCTTAATTTGACTGGATATGAGATTCTGGGTTGAAAACTCTCTTCTTTGAGGATATTGAATATTGACCTGCACTCTCTTCTAGTTTGTAGGGTTTCAGCTGAGAGATCTGCTGTGAGTCTGATAGTTTTCCCTTTATGGGTAACCTGACCTTTCTCTCTAGCTGCCCTTAGAATTTTCTCCTTTATTTCAACCCTGGTGAATCTAACGATTATGTGTCTTGGGGTTGTTCTAGTTGAGGAATATATTTGTGGTGTTCTCTGTATCACCTGAAGTTGGGTATTTTCCTGCCTTACTAGGGTAGGAAAGTTTTCCTGAATAATATCCTGAAGAATATTTTCCAGCTTGGATTCATTCTCTTCATGATATTCAGGTACAGCTATCAAACGTAAATTAGGTCTTTTCACATAGTCCCATATTTCTTGGAGACTTTTCTCAATCCTTTTTACTCTTTCTTCTCTAACCTTGTCTTCTCGTTTCATTTCATTAAGTTGGCCTTCGACCTCTGATAACCTTTCTTCTGCTTGATCAATTCGACTGTTAAAACCTGTGCATACTTCGCGAAGTTCTCGTATTGTATTCTTCAGTTCCATTAATTCATTTATATTCCTCTCTAGATTGTCTATTCTCGTTAGGATCTCATCAAACCTTTTTTCAAGGTTCTTAATTTCTTTACATTGGGCTAGAACATGTTCTTTTAACTCACAGAAGTTTCCTCTGAAACCTTCTGGAGCCTAAATCTGTTAATGGAACGCACTTGTTCTCCATCAACCCTTGTTGATGAGGAACTGTGATCCCCTGTAGAGGCATTTTGATTTTGGGTATTTTCAGCCTTTTTACGCTGGTTTCTTCTCATCATTGTAAATTTATCCACCTGTCATCTTTGTAATTACTGACTTTCAAATTAGGTTTCTGAGTGGACGTCCAACTTGTTGATTCCCAGTGCCGGAATCTGAGCAACCCACTGTGCAGACCAAAACAGCGGCGTTAAGGTTCGTGTTGCTTTTCTGCCCTGGAATCTCTGGTGTGGCTTCCTTCTTGAATCCCTTTTCCAATCAGCTGAATAGGCAACTATGCCTTTCCGGAGTTCCAAACATCGACCAAAAGGGGGCCCGAGTCCCGTTTACTCTGCACCAAGAACCGCCGCACCGGGGCACCGGCAAAACCGCCGCGCTGGCCACAAAAGTCGCACTGGCGACCCGTGGGGCTCCTCTGCTAGGAATCTCCTGGTCCATGAGCAACAAAAATTCACCTGAAAGTGTGGTGTCCTCTCGCTCTCTGTGCTTTCACTGGGAGCTACAATCCTGAGCTGCTAGTAATCAGCCATCTTGGATCATGAATGTAATTTGAAGACACTTCTTCTAAAAGATAAATGTGTGTATGTATATATGTAGTTTCTATACATGTACATTTTATGTATATAAATTTTATGTGTTCACATATACACACAAAAATATATGTAAAATCATATATATGATATATATGTATATATATGCATATATATTATATATAATAAATAATACATATTGTAATTATAATTATGTACACATATAATATTGCATATTATAATCCATTATTTAGAATAAGTATAATATAGATTATAGCATGCATATTGTAACATATATATTAACCTATATAATATGTATATATACATATTTACACATACATATAATATATAAAATATATGTGTATATATGTATGTATATTATATTATATAATACATAATACATATTATAATATGCATATATAGTATATGTATATTATATAATACATATATATTATTTTATGTGATATATTATATAATGAATATTATATTAATGTATAGCACATATATTATATACAAACTTTACAATGAGTATAAAATACATATATATTTGTGTCACACCAGACTTGAAATTATTTTTATTCAGGTCATTTATTCACCATGGTTGCCTTGATTCTAGTCTGCTAACCAATCCGGCCATAACTTCTACTGAGTGGAACTCAAAAAGTGAGTTAAAAGTCACACTTTTGTATGGAAAAATATTTGCAGTTCTTTGTTCTATTCACTCAGCCAATACATGTTATTATTATTATTATTATTATTTATTTTAGCTTGGGCCTTCTATTCTGGGGTGTTTCTTATTTCCTCTCTGTCACAGAAGAGTTTGGCAAGATTAGTAATTTAAATTAGCATCCAGTCTTAGAACCAGCCAGCATTGTGAGAAAGCAAGGCACAGAGAACTTCATCCTAGTTTATTAATTCTGTAATTAATTTTCATATTTTTCAGTCTAGAAATTTATTTTTGTCCTATCTCAGACATGTTGACTATGAATAGGTAGACTTTCCCAAGAACTTTCAATAGATTAGCTCTTACTTCTGCCACTGTTCTACTGCAGAGTGAATCTTACTTCCTGTCAGTTAACATTATTCCATATGCTTACTATTATCAAGGAAATTACAGTGTGTTTCTGCCCTTTAAAATTAGGTATTGTTTTAATAGAATTTCAAAATAAATATAGAATAGTTTAAAGAAAAGTATAGCCTTCCATTTTTTACTCCAAATCAAGATAAAAACAGCTTTAAAAACTAGTTTGAAGACCTTACAACAGAAGTGTCAAAATTCTCTTTTCAAAGCCAAACGTTAGTTTTTACCTTCTGGCACGTGATATATAGTATCTTCTTAGTACATGCTAACGAATGAATGATTGAATGACTGGCTAAATTGGTCAGATATCTTTTACCCTATCATTATTTGTGTGAATTTGAACACATCACTAATCTAAAATCTCCTGAGCCTCAGTTTACATGTCTGCAAATTGGAGAAAATAATATTTTCTGAAAAGCCAGTTTATGAAATTAAAGGAAATAATAATACAACTTATATGAAAAACATAAAGGTTAGATACGATATAGCTTGATAG